AGTATAGACAGAGCACGTGTAATTAGAATAAGCCTTATTTTGTGATTAAAGTATTTGGTAAAAGGCAAAGCTCGAGGTCAGATTATTTACCCTAACAGAATAAATAAATCTTTACTACTTACATTATCTAATTGTGCATAATATGAAGTGAATACATCTTTACAACTTATATTAAGAGTGTGCATGAATTTTAAAGGATTTTTTGATAAAAATTCGGCTTTATTGTGAAAAAAATGGTTACAAATTGATTATTCAAAATATTGTCCATCTAGCTAGCCACTACTTTTTCCCATCTTTCTGGTAATAAATGGATTTCACGTTGAAAGAACGACACATTTTTTGAGGCGATCCACGAATCAACCCATTTTTCGATATCCTCATAAAAATGAAAGCGCTGCTCAGACAGGCCATGAGTCATCGATCGAAATAAATGGTAATCTGAAGGAGCAATATCTGGAGAATACGGCGGGTGTGGTAGGACATCCCAGTTAAGCGCTTCTAACCTTTCCTTGACCGGTTTTGCAATACGAGGCTGAAGTTAGCAGCCAGAACGCGGCAGGCAGGACCGAATAAGGTGCTGAGGCCTCCCGGGTAAAAAAATAACAAAATATATTAAAAATTCATAACAAGACTTGAAAAAAATCACAAAAACTCTGCGAAGGGAGTATGAAACGATGCCATGACAATTTGTCCGGGGACGGCATTTTAATTATTCATTAAAAAAATTAAATAACAATTTCGAACAATACAGCAGCTACGTCGTACGCATACTCATAGAGACTTGAAAAAAATCACGAAGACTAAAAATCGAGTATGAAAAGATGCCACAACGATCTGCTCGGGGACGGCTCTAATTGTTCTCTAAAAAATTAAGTTGAATATTTAAACAATTTAGCAGCTACGTCGTACGCATACTCGCAGAGGCTTGAAAAAAATCACAGAGACTCTATAAAGCGAGCGTGAAAAGATGTCACGACGATCTGCCCGGGGATGGCATTTATTATTTGTTAAAAAAATTAGTAACAATTTTAAACAATATAGCAGCTACGTCGTACACATACTCGTAAAGACTCGGACAAAATCACAAAGACTCTACAAAGCGAGTGTGAAAAGATGCCACAACGATCTGCCCGGAGACGGCATTGATTATTCGTTAAAAAAATTAAGTAACAATTTTAAACAACATACCAGCTACTTCATACGCATACTCGTAAAGACTTGAAAAAAATCACAAAGACTCTGCGAAGGGAGTGTGAAACAATGCTATGACGATTTATCCGGGGACGGCATTAATTATTTATTTAAAAAATTAAGTAATTTTGAACAATACAGTAGCTACGTCGTACGCATACTCGTACAGACTCGGAAAAAATCACAAAGACTCTACAAAGCGAGTGTGAAACGATGCCACGACATTTGCCCGGGGCTCTAATTTTTCACTAAAAAATAAATATTTACAAACATCTGAGCAGTCAAGTCATATGCATTGATAATTCACTATTTATTGTCCGCTTTCGGTTGTATCCAGAATCATGACTAGGACGTGGCAGACGTTTGGCTCCGTTTTTTTTGTTTTTTTTATTTTTACAATTTTTTTAAAATTTAATTTTTTTGCCTTTTTTGTTTTTAATTATTTTGTTAAATTTTTATTTTTCCGTTTATTTTAATACATTTCGTTGCTTTCTTGTTTGTGGTTGCTGTGATGTATAATTTTGTATTATTAAATGTATTGATGCTACAAATTCAAATATATTTATAAAATAAAACGTAACATTTTCAGATTTTTTTAAATATTTAAAATTGAACTTTTTAGTTGTGGTAACGTGTTATTCATTATTTAACAAAAATTAAGTTTCGAAATTTCATTGTTTTATTTTCTGTCTGTTCATCGGAGACAGAATTTGCACGATAGCTTGCTATGCCTTTACGGGTCACTCTCATATCATCTTCTGAAAATTATATAAGAACCAGTAGCAATTATGCCCATGTGCATACGTGTACTCCACAATTTCCGCCTATATCATTATTTATTATTTGCGAGGGAACGTCTCGTGGCATGTATAGTGTCCATTCATTCCACGAGATAATTCCAATGTGTTCCTGTATGAAGTGACAAATTCCATTCAGTATCGTTTCATTGGGATTTCCATGCAATGATTCTAGTAGATAAACAGGGGGGGTTCTCGATCAATGAACGGGGGCCAGCGGGGGTGCGACGTGTGCGGGTGAAGGTAGGGA